GCAAGAAGGTCGGAATTGGGGCAGCTAGGTGGCACAGTGGATAAACTTCCTGAAGTCAGGAAGACCCAAGTTCAAATCCAGCTTCAGACCAAACACTCACTAGCTGTGTGAACCTGGGCAAGTCACTTAACCCCAATTGCCTAAATAAATAAATAAAATTTAAAAAGAAGGTTGAAATCATTAAAGGGACTATACATATTATTAAATATAAATGTTATATAGATATTAAATATAAATATTGAATATATTAAATAAGTAACTCCTACCAGAAACAAAATGTAGATAATGACATATTAATATCAGAAATGACCAGCACCTGGATCAATTGGATGATTCTTAGAGCTCACCACTTGTCCCAGGATCACACACTGAAAGTTGCTTCCATAGAACAAATGGCTAAATGATTTGAGGGGCACTGTGACAGCCTTTTAGAGTAAGCAGTAGGAAAATGTGTACTGACTGTGGTAGTACCACTGGCCTCAGAACCCCAGCCACTGTTTGAGACTACTTGACCCTTTCTGTTTCATTCCAGGAATATTTCATTTGGAATTTCCTTCCTCATTTACAACTGGGTCATTTATTTCTTTTCTTTCCTTTGTTCTGCCCAAAGACCTCACTCAACATTAGTTTGAAGCTCCACAAGTGTGTCATTTTCCCCCAAACTGTCTTTGAACCCCTGAATTACTATGTTTTCAAGCATACCATCTTATACATGCATACCAACCTTCATTTTTCTAGGTGTTTTCTAAATCTAAGAAATCATTACATCTAAATATGCTTGAATTTCCCAAGAGACCATCAAATGTTTAAATTTAAAAGTGCATGATTAATTTCTAATTCCCACCCACTGAGGAAATGCTCAAAAGTTCATTGCTGTTTCCTATGACTTAAATAAATGGCCAGTCCACAGTTAGTTGCCTGGGTTATTAAGGGAATTACAATCTCATGTCTGATGGCTTTTGAAATGGGCAGTGGTGAGAAAGGAAAGAACTACGGTCTGCCTTTAGATAGCCAGGTTCTATATGTTCTTAGCAGTTCATCTCTGTGTCATGGCCTAGGTGGTACATGATTCCTTTTCAGGGAATAAGTGACAGAGTAAAGACAGGAAGGATAAACTAGAAGCTAGTCTTGGCAGTTACAGAAAACACACACACATATCTTTGAAAATTCAAAAATAATTTAAGGAAATTGAAAGACAAAAGTAATATTTAATTCTGTGTTTATCCTGCTCCTTGAAATAGTTGAAAATTACATGAAAGATTATTATGGACACAGAATCCTAGTGTTAAAAATCTTGTGTTTACATGTCATTTCATCTCAAACTTTCTTATACATTATGCAATAATAGATGACAGGCTTGGAGTCTTCCATTGACAAAGAAAAAAAAGCACTGAGACAATTACCAGCAGAGACATGTTTGCTGTGTTGCTCAGCTAGAGCCAACTCCAGCATAGGAACAACTATCCAGCATAAATTATGTAGGTGAAATAAGGTCACCTATAGGTAAAATCAGGCCAAAAGGAACATTAAAAATGTAGGGTTTGGGGGGGGCTGTTTTTAATTTTTATTGAAGGTGGAAAGGAGTCATATAAGAGCAACATCAGGAAAGGTGAGGAAGGTGAGAGCGAAGATTCCACCCTTTTGCTTCAGCGACAATGCACCTTTGTGGTGGGATACATATGTGCCCAAGAAGGTGTAACAGAAGAATGCTGAGCTCCAAGAGAGAAGATCTGGGTTCAAGTCCCTATTATGGTGCTCCTTAGCTTTGTAACTTTGAGGCAGGCCAGTATAGCAGAAAGAACATTGGATTTGACTAAAGACCTCAGTTCAAATTCTAGCTCAAAATCACTGACTTGTGATTTTGGGTGAGTCATTTCATTTCTCTGGGTGTTAGTTTTAGTTTCTTTATATGTAAAATAAGGGGATTTGATGAAGTGACTATAAACCTCTCTGGTCTTCAATTTCTTCATCTACAAAATAGGGATAATAAAATTGTACTACTTCCCTCAATTTATACTGCTTACCTCCTATTCTTGGGAAAAGAGTGCTTTATAAACTGGCTTGCCAAATAAATGGGAGCCATTACTATTATTTATCAGCACCTAATGGAGCCACCACTTCCCCAGCTTGGTGGCAGATTATCTTCTTCCACCAGGTTAGTGGACACAGATGGCCAGGCTAGGTCTTACCCCCTTAGGCCATGGAATTTTCCCTCTTCTAGACTAGGAGCACTTGGGTTGGAGCACGGGAACCAGATCAGAACCAGATCAATTCTCTGCCTCCACCTAGCCTTGGAATCCAAGCTCACTTTGAGACTCACCATGAGAACCAGGAGTGAAGTGACTGGCCAATGGGTTTATAGGGTACAGTTAACAAGCAGACTTTAGTCTTCTGCAACATTCAGAAAAGGCAAGACTAGAATGAAAAAGGTGAAATGCAGACAAAAAAAAGTCATATTTCCTTGTTTCTCATGAGACACTTTTGATAACTAAGAATCAAGAGATACGACACAGCCAAAATGGTGGAACAGGAGGAAGCGGTGAAGGAGAGGCTATGGCACATAATCTTTTCAGCCCAAGATCACAAATTTAATCTATAGGCAAGTGGCCAGGACAGGAACTCTGTAACAAGGGTGGGCTAACCGTGTCCAGAAAGCCTATCTAAGTCTGCAGCACAGGACATCCAGAGCAGATAGATTTTAGACTCAGTTCAAGCCCAAGGCCAAAGCTTAGGCCCTGGAACATGAATTCAGTACCCAGAGCACCCAGTGTGTGGTCACCTAGATGACCCCACAGCAGATCATAGGTACAGTAGTCTCCCCTGGAAAGTAGCACAGTGTTCTACCAGAAAGGCCAGGGTTACAGACAGCCCCAAAAGAGCTCCTATCTCTAGGCCGTCTCTGGAAGAATGAATAAACAACAACAAACAGATAAAGGATTATTATGAGGCCAGGAGTACCCCACAGCACAAACCCAGAAGATGAGAATAACTCCAAAATAGTCATAAAACCTAAAACAGAGAGAGACACACACAGAGATATATATATATAGAGAGAGAGAGAGAGAGAGAGCTTGACTACAAGATCAAATATAATTTCTAGAATAATGCAAGAGTTAAAAATGAGTTTTAAAATGGTATTACAAAGTAAATGAGAGCAATAGAGGAAAGAATTTGAAAATAAATGAGAGCTATGAAGCAGACTTGGACAGTTAACAGCTTGATACAAGAGATACAAAAACCTTTCCCAAGTAACAGACTCCTTCAAAATTAGAATAGAACAGAATCCAGTAACTCCATGAGCCCACAAGAAATATAAAACAAAATGAAAAGATTGAAAAAATAGAAGAAAATGTAAGATATCTCATTGCAAACTGACCTAGAAAACAGTTGAAGGAGTGATAATTTAAGAATCATTGTACTTCCTGAAAGTAATGACCAAAGAGAAAGATTGGAGTGGGGGGAGTGGGGGTGGTAAGAGAGACAGAGACACAGAGCCAGAAAGAGAAAGAGAAAGCCTACATATTATATTTCAAGAAATCATGGGGCAGGGTGGGAGGGGAGGGGGAAACCTGCTCAGTGCTCAGAATCAGACAGCAAATTAAAAATGGAAAGAATACAATCACTACCTTCTGAAAGAAAACCTAAAATGAAAACTCCTAGGAACATCAAAGCCAAAATCCAGAGTTCCCAGGTCAAGGGGAAAAAAAAACTAAAACTTTCAGAAATAAAGAATTTTAAGTACTGAAAAACTGCAGTGAGGATCAAACAAGAATTAGCAGCTATGCCTATAAAGGAAAGGAAAGTACATGATATGATATTCTAAAAGACAAAAGCCTAGATGCTTACAACCAAAAATAATTTACTCCGCAAAACCAAGTATAATCCTACAGGTCTAAAAATAGAGCTTTAATAAAATAGAGAACTTCTAAGCATTCCCGATGAAAAGACCAGAACTTAGTAAAATTTTGAAATATAAATATGGGAATAAAGAGAAACATAAAAAAGTAAACACAAGCAAGTAATTAAAAAGGACTTTGTAAAGATGAGGTGTTTGAATTTTAATGGGTAAGAAAGAGGATGATACAGTATACTGTAAGAACCATGAAGTCAGTATAGAGGAAGTCAAATAAGATAGAAAGCCTGGGAGTGATTTTTGTTATGTTTGATTATCTTAAAATGAGGAACTAAAGGGAAAGGAAAAAAGATGCATTAGGGAAGAAATGTAGAGGAAAGGAAGGATTTATATTTTATATTATCAGGGTGGGCTATGAATAGAAGTCTATACAAACAAGGAAAGGGTAGGAAAAGTTGGTATCACTTAAACATCACTTTAAAATGATGCAGAAGTGAGCAGAATCAGGAAAGCAATTTATACTATAACAATATTATAAAAACAAATATTTTTGAAAGACTTAAGAACTCTAATCAGTGCAATGATCAACCATGATTCCAGAGCTCCAACGATTTAGAATACTACCCATCTCCAAAGAGAGACGGGTGATGGACTAGATATGAAGAGTGAGACATGCATTTTTGAACATAGTCAATGTGAGAATGTGTTTGTTTGACTGTGGTTTCTGTTACAAAGGTTTATTTTTTCTTTTTCTCTTTTTCAATAGAAAGGAAAGTGAGAGGTGAGAGGAAGAGAGGGTAGATGTTTATTGATGAAAAAAATAAAATTTAATGTATTAAAAAATACTCAAGGGAAGGATTCCATCTTGCTATCTAGTTATAGCAAGTGCATGATTCAGTGAAAACAGGAATTGAGAAATGGAGTCTTTTTCATGGTTCTAACTGTACCAAATAGGTTAAAGCTTATTCTCTAAGCAAGACTGGTTACATCTCTTCCTCAGGGTGCTAGGGTATCCTGAGGGGTCTGCACGGTTGTCTCTTTCTTTATTGACACTGGCTTACACTCCCACCAGCTGTGTCACCTTTCTACCCCAACTCTTAGGGGCCAGTGATTAGCACCCTACTTCCATTTAACCATTTAACATTGATCAGCTTTAACAAATAGATGTTTACTTCATAGATGGAGCAAGAACAAACATACAGACATTTCCCACAATACCTCAGGGGCATCCTTTCCCCACACCACCTTGGTCTCTGAGAGGAAATGGGCTCAAAACCTAATCCAGTTCCTACATAACATTGGTCCCCATCAAAGTTCATGTCCAAAAGTGGCATCTCTGCTGTAGAAGTTCTTGTCTCAGCTACCACTGGGCTGTACTCCCAAAGGCCACTCCTTGCTTCTTGGGGCATCAGTGTTGCACTGGCCCTGGACCCCAGACTCTGGATGCCAGAGCCTTTTCCTGACCTTTTATACTCACATGGTCAGAGGCTCCAATCTCCTTCTCCTAAAAAGAAAAACAAAAACAAATGCAGAGGTCAAAGACCAAAGCACTTTTATAGGGCCCTATGGCCACAGAAAGGAGAAGGCTCCGTAGCTTCCCCCAACCCACACAGCCTTGTTTCATTGGCTACTATGAAAGGAGTCGATGAATGAGGTAAACAAAAGGTAGGTGAAGCAGACAGACCTTTTTGAACACCTCTAAGATTCATCAAAGAACCTTTCTTTCTTAGTCAAGTGCCCACCTGCACCAGTTAGACAATGTCTCTGAGCACTCTGAAGTCTATCCAAGGCACTTTCCTTACATGTTATTGCGACTATCCCAGAAGCAGGCTCCCAGGAATCTAAGCACATCCAAGGAACGCTGCGCACAAAACTGGTAGCAGGGGCACTTGGATTCTTGAAAGGATCTTGTAAAATTATCTTAAAATGCCTCTTTTCAACTCGGAATCTGTTCCTCATGCAAGGTTATTTTAAATTCCTATCTAAATACCAATGTTCACCAGAGTTAGAAGAAAATGGAGTGATTGTCTTAGGTCTTATTCCTCTCTTCCAATATTTTTTTTCTCTACTCAGCAGTCAAAATTATTTTCTTAATGCAGATCCGACCATATTATCCCCCTTTGCCCCACTCAATAAACTCTAATGGCTCCTTATTACCTCTGGGATGAAATGAAACAGTCTTCTTTTTGGTATTTAAAGCCCTTCACAATCTGATCCTTCCTACATTTCCACTCTTCTTACACTTTATTCCCTTCCATTGACTCTACAATTCAGCAACAATGGTCTTCATCCATGACACTCCATTTCCCAACTATGTGCATTTTCACTGGTTGTCCTCCATACTGGGAATGGTCTCCCTCTTCACCTCCATCTACTGGCTTCCTCGACTCTCTTCAAGATTCAAATCCTACCTTCTGCAAAAGGTCTTTCCCACACTCCTTCTACAGCTAGTGTCTTCCCTCAGAGATCACCTTCCATTTGCACACTATGTAGCCTGTTTTTTTTATCATTTTTTTGTACGTTGACTCCCACATTAGAGTTGGAGCTCCTTCAGGGCAAGGACTGCACTTTTTGTCTTTCTTTTTATCCCAAGTCCATAGCACGGTGTCTGACACACAGTAAGTGATTATTAGCTCTTTCTAACTGAGACCCCAGGACTAGAAAACAGAAACCAGATCTATGTGGAGAATTTTGAGGCTGTGTAGGTCTTAATTTGACACTTCCTCATTCAGCTGACTACTGCCTAGTCACTCACAGTTATAGAAAGGATAGGATGAGACAGTTACATGAGCAACTTCCTGTAGGTGGATACCAAGAAGCTGGGTAAAAATAACCTAGTAACCACAGAGATGCTGGGTAGTACTACGTCTTACTATCTGAGACAATAAGGAGAGCCAGAGATAATTGAAAACCATAATAAATCAAGCAATACTCATTTTAAACATGAATTTTAGCTGGCAAGGAAGGTTTTCAGTGAAGGGGATATAGGAGGAATTGTTCATAAGGAGATTATCTTGTCATACCCTCAAGTGCAGGACCTTAGTGGTCCCCCTCGTTCAACAGAGAGGAATCATAAAGGATAAAGTAATCCTGATTGGCTTTGTCCAAAAAGTTGGCTTTCATCAGTGTTGTTGACTTTTCCCCTGTGGTTATTTAAAGATGCAAAAAAAATCATTTCTGCCTTCCATGGGAAGACGTTGTGGCAGAAGAACCAAAGGCTGGAGGAAGAGCCGGAGAGAGGCTTAGGGTAAAATACAGAAGGGATGGCAATGGTGTTTTGGAAGCCTTCTAAACTGTAGCCAAGGCTAGAGATCGAATTTAGGGAAGGGAAATTTGGGAAGACTTGAGAAGTTGAAGGAGGTTAACAGCTAGAGCTGAAGCAGGAAAAGGAACTGAGCCATTGGAGCAACAATCAATACATGAGTAAACATTTATTAAACACCTACTATGTGCCAGCATTGTGCTAAGCATTGAAGAATTCAAGGAGAAGGAAAAAAGAATTTTAAGCAAAAGGTTCTAAAGAGAAAGAACAGAAGAAGATGAAGGACCTGTGAAGAAAGAGAAACAGGGGAGAATGAGAAGAACTTGATTGGAAGATGTGATCACTGAGACTTAATAAGACTCATGCCCAGATTATGGCTCTGGAACAACAGACCTTATTTAAAAAGGGACAGTGCAGATGAAAGAGGTAGGAGGCATGAGGTAGCAATTATATTTTAAGGAGATATGCTCATTTGAGGAAATCTAGGAATCAATGGTAAGATCACATGGATAAAGACCCTCAGAGAGAAACAGAAGCAATATCATCATCTAAATATCATTCAGAACACTTGCATAGAAAGAAGAAATAGATAAGTTTGGGAAACAGATGGAACATCTGGCATGGAGACATGTTTCAGTAGTGATGGAGGACTTCTGTTATCTAGACAGCTGCTAAATATCTCTTCCTCTACTGAAAGCAGAGCAGTTAATCATTTCTTGTGTTGCCTTAATGAAAATTTTATCCTTCCAAAATTGAAGGAACCAAGAAGGGGAAATTCTATTGTGGGTCTGATTCTTCACAACAAGGAGGAACTAACTGCTTGCTGGGGTGGAGAATGGGAACCTTGGGAGGAAGTGACAACACAATCTTAGAATGTGTAGTGGAGAAGCAAGTTGGAAACAGTCTTATACCCTAAACTCGGGGAGAGCAAATTTAAAAGGATTAAAAGAAAAGATGGGTAGAAATTCCATGCACTAAAGTTCTACAAGATATTAGCTCAGGAGGTGTGGGAAGCTCTCAAGAATGAAATTCTGAAGACACAACTTATTTCCTATGACCTACCCCTCCGCCCCACCTCAGCTACTTACAGAGATGGTTGAACCCTTGATCTTGCCATCACCAATAAATGCCCCACTTCCATGTTTACCTGATCACAATCTGTTGTTATTCCACCTCTCCCTTGCAACCCCAAACCCAGTCTTCATCTTCACTGTGATCTTCAATCCTTTGACCCTCAGTTCTTTCCCAGGTCATCACTTCTGCACTGGCTGCACTCTCTTGTCTTCCCCATCTTGACCCTTTAGTAAGCCAGTTCAATTTTATGCTCTCTACTTCTCAAGTCCCTTGCCCCTTTATTGATTTTGCCTTGCCAAGCCTTAGACTTGGATTATCCCCACCATCCCCTACCTTCATTTCTACTCATGTGCTCATGAATAAAAGATGGAGCAAATCATGAAACCATGATGACTGGTTCCACTATAAATTTATGTTACATAATCTCATCTGAGCCCTCACTGCAACAAGACAATCCTTTCACACCTCCCTAATTGACTCACTATCCCACTTGGCACAGCAGCTTTCCCAAATCTTCTCGTTCTTCCTCAGACTTTTCATAACTCCCCTCCCATACTCTCTCAGCTGAGAACTTTGCCTCAAATTCACTAAAAAAATTGAGGCCATTTGTCACGAGCTTCCTTTTCTCTCTGCCTCCTCATCTAATATCACTCAGATGCCTTTTGCAACTATGTCTTTCATTGCTGTCTCACATAAAAATGTGGTCCCTCTTCTGGCTGAAGCTAACCCTTCCACCTGTACAAGCGACCTCACTCCATCTCATCTTCTCCAGCAGATTGCCCTATCATCCCCTCTCTCTAACTTATCTTTAGTTGCAAATGAACATGTCCAAGTCTTTCTTATCCTAAAACAAACAAAAAACAACTTGGTCCATCCATCCCCACTATCTATCCCATATCTCTCCTTCCTTTCAGGGCTAAACTCTTTGAATGGACCATCTACAACCAGTGTTTCCATCTCTTTTCCTCCCACTCTGTAAACTCTCTATAATCTGCCTTCCGGCCTTATCATTCAATTGAAACTGCTCTCTCCAAAGTTACCAATGATCTCTTAATTGCCAAATCAAATGCCTCCTTCTCAACCCTCATACTTCTTCACCTCTGAAGGCTTTGACACTACTGATCACCTTCTCTTTGATACTCTCTAGGATGTCATGATATTACTCTACTCTGGTTTTTCTCCTACCTGACTTTTCCTTCAATCTCCTGTGTCCAGGTCATGCTCTCTAATGATAGATGTCCTGAATATACTGAATCTTCTCTTCTCACTTTATACTATTTCACTTGGTGATCTCAACAGATACCATGGATTCAAAATTCTCTCTATACTGATGATTGTTTGCCCTAACTTTTTTTTTAGCCTCCAGACTCACATCTCCAACTGCCCATTGGACATCTTGAACTGGATGTCCCATAGACATCCTAAATCCAACAGGTCCAAAACTGTACTCGTCTTTCCACTTAAACCCTTCACTCTTCCAATCTTCCCTATTACCATCAAATATACCACCATTCTCCTAGGCTCACAAACTAGGTGTTATCCTCATCTCCTCTCTCTCATCCTTCACTCCTTCCCCATATCCAGTTTGTTGTCAAGTCCTGTTGATTTTGCCTTTGTAATATCTCTTGTATACGCCCTGATCTCTCCTCTGACACTGCCACCACTCTGGTTCAGGCTCTCATCACCTCACACCTGGAGTCCTGCAAAAGCCTTCAGTTTGATCTCTGTGACTCAAGTTGTTGCCCACTCTAGTACCTCCTACACTCACCTCTCAAACTGATCTTCATAAAATGCAGGTCTGAGCATATTAGCCCATTTAATAAATTTCAGTAGCTTCCTATTGTCTCCAGGATCAAATATAAAATCCTCTGACATTGTATGCTCTTTATAACCTATCCCACTCCCACCCTTCCAGTCTTCTCATACCCTACTTACCACCCCCCTTCCCTGCCCTCACATATTCCGCCATCCAGGGATACTGGACTCCATGCTGTTCCTCGAACACAACACTTGTCTCTGACTCCCAGTCTTTTCACTGGCTGTCTCCCAGGCCTGGAATTCTCTCCCTCTTCCTTTCTGTCTTCCAGCTTCTTTCAAGTCTCAGCTAAAGTCCCACTTTTGGCCTTCCCTGGTCTTCTTTAATCTTAGTGCTTTCCTTCAGAGATTAT